CTGCTTTCTCCCCCCACTGTCTTGCCCTTTGCTTTACCTACTGGGATATTTGTGTCAGCTACTGTTGTGATTGTCCTCATTGGTTGCTGGTTCCAGTTAGGTCTATACTGCACCAAAGACTTCCTACTAGAGTGTGTGTGTGCCCACTGCAAATCATGGCAGATTTCTACACAGTGCAAAGTTGGCCAAGTGTTGTCTGGTAACACTGATGTAGAATTCTGTACTTTCTCTTATTCTGTAGATCTTAATTCCACCACTGTTTGTGTCTAAGCTGTACTTGAACAGGTAACTTCTGATGTAGCATGTTTGACATCACCAGGAAAGCAGGAAAACAGAAGTTTATAAAACAATACTCTCCTAGTTTTACTGCATCAGCCTGTTTTGTGGTTGCAGGGGAGTTTAGCTGTTTGTGGGTGCTTTAGTGTTTTTCCAAAGAAGTCTATGCCTTTTTTTGCTCATGCAAAAAAATGCATTTTGCAGAATGTATTTTGTTACATTGAGCTCGTTTCTCCACCATCCCCACCTCTACACTGACTACATACTTCTTCACGCTTGGATATGAGGATAGGAGCTGTCTGCTAAGGCTTGAAAAATAATATTTTTCCTTATTTTCTACTCAGATGACTTTATGAGCTTCCCTGTGGTGTTCTTAGTTATGTGTAGCCTTATATAAAGGTTCCTTTGGTCTCTTCTTCCTTTCTCTTCCTTTTTTTTTTTTTTTTTTCAAAGGCACTTCAGGGCTTTGAATAACACCTCATAATGCTGTTAGGAATAATAGCTATGAGCCAATTACACAGTGTGGACTGACACAAGTGTGCTGCAAGGGGGTTCTGCTTAAATTGGATATAGTCTGTTTATTTTCATACATTTGCTATCCTGCTTTAGTTTCTTCTATATGACTTTGTGTACTCCATCCTTTCTGTTTGTTAGTTTCTCTGGTTTTTAGTACAGTCAATCTTTCCTAGGCCACCTCCTTTTCACATTTTATTTCATTCTTTTATTCTTTTTGTCTTTGTTTACCTTTTTTTCTGTTTGTATTTTTTTGTGTTCATTGTCTTTAAGTTTAACCTCCTATCCAACAGTAGCTTAAAGAATAGTATTTATCTCCCTGCAGTCTATTACTGACCTTTTTCCTCAGCTTGTTCTTCTAACTGTTTCATCATCTGAATTCTGCTATGACAGCTGAAATGTGTCAGTGTGTAGTCTTCAAACAGTTACGGGCGGGTATGTCACTGACTCGATCCATAAGGAATCCAACTGTCACCTCTACCCAATTCCTTAATGAGTTGCCTATTTTCTATTCCACAGCTTTTCATGTTGAATGCAGGATCTGCAGATATCAGCAAAAGCTGTTGTAACATAGAATGAAAAAAACCTCTCTTGCCCCTCCAGCAGTGTTATTCCCATCCTTTATTCAAATATCTTCCTTTGCTTCCCTCCTAGTTCCCATCCTATTCCTCATGCATTGTGCATACTTGTGTGTCTGCAGCCATTTTATTTCCCCTGTTATTTCATTTCTTGGGGTTTTTTTAAGGTAGGTGGCAGAGATTCAAATCTGCAAATGTGACAAATAAGGTTCAAATCTGCAAATGTGAAAAATAAGGTTCAGCCTTTATCTTTCCTTCCCTTTCTCTCCCCCTTCCTTTTTTTTTTAATGCTATCATTTTCTTGAGCTGCACCCCATGAGCTCTTCCTTACCTAATCAAATTCCTCCTGAAGTCTTAACCACTGTAACTGCATGTGGCTCTGTGTTTGATCTCTGACAAGTGCAAGGCAAGTTGAACTGGATTTAAAATTTATCTGAGCAGTGACCTTGTCTACTATCACGTGTGACTGGTTCCTGCCAAAGCACATTCCAGATTCCTTCATTGTCTGTCCTGTTGAAGTTTGCACAAAATTGGTCATTTCTCTTTTTTTACATTTCAGGCTGCTGGGAAGGGGCTCAATGTTTGTGTTTTCCCCAGAACAATTTCAAAGACTGCTTAAAATAAATCCCGAATGGAAATCCCACAGACTTCTTGATTTAGGGGCTGGGGATGGAGAAGTCACTAAAGTCATGAGTCCTCACTTTGAAGAAATCTATGCCACTGAATTGTCTGAAACCATGATATGGCAGCTGCAGAAGAAGAAATACAGGTATCCTGAATGCTCCCTATGTCCTTTATATCAGACACTGCAGCAATCTATTGGTAATATTTAATGCATGTTCAGTATTTTCAGTCAATTCCTTTATTGTTTGGTTGTTATGGAAAAGGTTAACCTGTGCAAAACCAGGAAAACAAACATGTCTGATCTTCCCTTTTACCTGTGTTGGTTTTTGTCTCCTTTATTGCCTGATGGTTATAAGGCAATATAAAGGTTCATAGGTCTGGATATACAGCCATGCCAGTCATTGACTTAGTTTTCTTTTCCAAAAGTCCAGAAGGGATCATGTCTGTCTCTTCTCATTGCCTGAGTGCTGACCTTATCTGCACTGTCAACACATCCATAGGGAATTTTTGATTTCAGTGACTCTCTCTGAACTCAGCTGGTTTTTGTTTAACAAACACTCTCTCTTTCCTTTTACAGGGTGCTTGGTATAAATGAATGGCAAAACATAGGATTTCAGTATGATGTTATCAGCTGTTTGAATTTGCTGGATCGCTGTGATCAACCACTGACTGTATTAAAAGATATCAGAAGTGTACTGGAGCCAACTAGAGGCAGAGTCATTCTAGCACTGGTTCTGCCATTTCACCCATACGTGGAAAATGGTAAGTACACAGGTTTATAGCTACTGAGGCAGGTAAAGAAAATGTTTGTAGGATATAGTATCCCAAATTAAATATTTAATAAATGAATGTTTGCATTGGATTTTTTTACAAATAGCTTGTGCAGGGCATGTTCAGAAGGATGAAATCATAGGTAAATAGGCCACACGATGTAAATTGTTTTCTTAATTCCCCAGCATACATTGCTGGCAGCAACAAAAAGCTCAAATATTGAAGTCACAGATCCTGCTCTGCAAGTTGCCACATTACAGCTGTGTTGGAGGAACATGGGAAAACTGCTCTTTACCTATAGGTAACTCCAGTTGTCTCCAGTGACCAATTGAACTAAATCATCAGAACTGTCGAGTGCTGAATAGAGAAGTTCAGGTCAAACTGTTTCAAGTGTTCCAGATCAATCCCACCTAAAATTTCCTAGGGAGATAATGTACACTTTCCAACATAAGCTCTCAAAGTAAAATATAGACCCCTAATAATACAAAGTATCAAGCACTATTAATATTGTATTAATTTATATTGCATCAGTAACTGGAATAGAAAAGTAAAATACAGTGCCAAAACTCCATTATTTGCCCTAGCTGCATTTTAAAGAAGTACATGAGAGATTTTCAAATGAATCTCTATGACTAAACTTCAAAAGAGACTGGAAACCCTTTTTTACATGCCTGTGATTGTGGATTCAGGTTGAGGCACCCTAAAGGTGGTTTGAATTTCAGAAGGCTGATGTTCATCAGTCACTGTTGGGACTCTGGTTCTTCTTGAGTATTAAGACTTGTCTGTGGGAAGGCATGGACACCCAGAAAATACAGTGCTGATAGTGTTCAAATGCATCAGGCTGAAACTGGTTTTCTGCTTTTATATGCCAGTGGTGTTTTGGTGGGAGAAGGGAGAAAAAAAAGTTGTAAGCATAAAAAATTATGTCATCAGATGAAGAATTACTTAAAATACAGTATTTGAACTTACAATTTTGTAACTACTGTGAAAAGTAGTATGTCTGAAATTAGATTTGGGGTCACTTACACATCTGTACAGTATTTCAAGCATATTTCATTACAACTTATTGTTCCAATAATGTAGAACAATATATCTTCCTCTTGTAGAAGTCCTTTAAAATTCCAAATCACAGCAGTGTCTTTCTTGTCATTCATTGGCATGTTAGAAGCAGAAATTGAGAAATGCTTTGGGTGGCTTTTTTGTTTGTGTGCCATCAAAACTGTGTGTCATTGTGTTACCCCACATCTAGTTTTGTGCATGGTGTTGGGTAACCCTGTGAGAGACACATACAACTCCCTGGCTCAACAGGGTAAGTTAAGGAAGAAACTATTCTAAGTCCACTTACGTCCTTCATCCTTAATCTCCTACCTGGGAGGAGAATAGCCTGTTAAATTGATAAATCCCAAGGGACTGGAAACCTGTTCTGTGGTTGTTGAACTCAGTCATCGCTACCTGTTGAAAGCTGAAATACTGTTATAAGATGTTTTGCAAACCAGAGTCGTAATTTTATTGGAGGTGGTGACTTGGAGCAGATTAGTCACTTTGCTCAAGGCAGTTTTGTTCCCTTAAAACATACTCAGTTTGTCTGTTTTTCACTCTTGTGGATATGGACCCATATATACTTACACAATGCAGGTTAGCACGCACAAAGGTTGCTGTCATTCCACTGATGCTTTCCCACTTACAGTCTATTGAACTGTGGACTGGAGGAACAGACAGTGAACTGCCAGACAGTCTTTATGATGTACAAAAGGTTTAGAATTCCAGTATTTTCATTCAGCTGTTCTACAGGGTGATGCATTTAAAAAAGTGTTAGGTATCTATATGTGCTTTACTTTAACAAAATTCTATTTGGAACATTCAAAGAGGAGAGCATTTCATGGCTCAAGGAACTTCTTGTAGTAGCTAATTAAAACCAGCTTGGACCCACATAGAGAAACCTTTGAATTTTGGAGAGGGAGAACAGATGGAGAAGAGTTGGGGCAGGCAAGGTGTTTGGTCAGTGTATAGATCTGTTTCTAGAAGTGGAGAAACTGTTTTAACCAAAACGAGATATTTGGGTTATTACAGGTAGTGTAATGGGATGGTAATGGTGGAAACTGTCTATGTGAATAGCATCAAACTTGGTTCAAGAGAACAAAGCAAGGTGGAGAAGGAAGTCAAATACAGATCTTTGCTTGCTGTTTCTGGAATTATAGTGACACCTAGAGCCCAGAGTTGCCTAACCATAAATTCTTTCGGGAGATTTTCAGTTTTATTTTCAACATGCAGAACAGCCAGTAATGCAGTTATTGCACATGTCTAAGTTGGGCACGTTAAGCTGGATGAATCATAAGGTATTAGACTAGTCACATAAGAACAAGTATTATCAGAACTTTATATTTTTAATAGGTATCTCATATGGTCATGTAAGAATCCTTTTGATTCCTAATACAGACAGAATATATAAAGTCGTTACTAGATAATATATGACTAGACTGGTTTAAGTTTCTCTAAAATCAAAATGTCAGGGATACCATTAGTTCAGAATTAGTGAGCACTAGCAGCCAGGGAGAGGTGTGTTCTCCATCCTCCTGAAGTACTTGCTACAGACCGAGCTGGGAATGGAGTGCTGTGTGAGATGGACTCTTGCTTTGTCTCAGTTGTCAGTTCCCATCTCACTGAAGTGAGAAGTGCCACTTGTTAAACAAAGCCTTGTGTTCTTTTGATGATGGTGAAAGGTGCAGCTGTTCTTGAGTAGGGAGAATGCCTGATACTAACAGATCTCTTGGAGAAGTGCTGATTATGTAGATTAGGTAGTAACTGCTAGAAAAGTAGAAGTACTTTTTCTAGAAAAGAGCTGTACTGCCTTTTGACTAGCTAGTGCAGCTCTGTGCTCCTGCTTGTATCCATGTTGAACAGGCTTGGAAAGGCAGAACTTGGTGCTCCAGGTAATCCTGGCTTTGGATGGTAGGACTGGAAGATGGAAGTTGTCTGTCTAGCAAGTGAATTTTAACATTGGCTGAGCAGCCTTCTCGTGGTGACCACTACTGTCCTTTCCTAAACAGGCTAGAAGGAAACTCCCACCCCCAGTGAGCTTTGCCATGGTAGTACACGTGTTTATGTTGTCAGCTGTTCCTGCTTGCCTAGCTAATGCACAGGTTTTGCTCTGTGCTCAGTAACTGTTGATCTCTATATGTTCCATGAATAACTAACACATTGACAAGACTAAATCCAGAATTTCACCTATGAAACAAGTTTATTTTCTGTTCTGTCAATTATCACGTATCTTCCACAAACACTGAATTCATGTCAAAGGAATACATGTAAATTTATGTAATTAAAAAAAAAGACTCATAATTAAATCTAAACTGAAAAAGGAGAGTTTTATGAAGCATTAGCAGTTGTCTTAGGAAAGATGAAGTCTTTTCCCACAGTTCTTATTCTTGCAGAACGGAAAATGCAGTATATAACACAGATTTAATGTACAATGCCCTTGGTTTTGGTGATCTGTTTAGAAAATACTCTTGAAGAACACTGCCCTGCAAGGTTTTGCCCTCTCTTTTTAAAGCAAAGGAAGTCTGTGAAGAAGTGTAGTGTAATTTCTTCAGCTGCCCCTTTGCTTGCACGAGAAATGCTGAAAACATCTGAACTGTTATACATGCTCATCTGTTCTGATAAACAGTGTCATCTTCCAGATCATCCTGGGGAAAAAATGTAGAAGTATTTTGTTACTGATGTGAATTTTTTTTTAAATGAAGGCAGAATTTCTTCTTTGAGACAAAATCCATCCTTTTACTGCTTCAGTGAACTCCTTTCCCTCCACTTGGCCAGTTTTTGTGCACATGGTATCTGTAGGATTCAAAACCTGTTTCTTTTCCTGTTGGCTTTTCCTAATCTCCAGGGAGCACAGAGGCAGGAAAACATAGCCCTTGTTTTCATATCTGGTGCTCAAACCAAGGACTGGGTCATGTCAACAGGGGCTTCAAGTCCTTAAAGGGCTAACTACAGAGGAAAACAATTGGGGCTGTATGGAAACAAGTGAAGTAAAATGTATAGAGGAGAAGTGTTTGACTTTGTTCCATATTTCATTTGGTTTCTCATTGCGTCTCTGAATGGTACAGTCCATACTCAGAATAAGGAAGAATTTATACTGTTTTTCAAGAGAAGCAACATTTTTGAAGCAAGATTTTGAAGCCATTGTCTTTGCATGTGAATTCTAAAGTTGGGTAGTTTTGTTTGGGTAATGGCATGGCAAATACAAAATTATTGTCATATAAGACTTATGAGCATAAACCTGGAATGATGAGATAAGTTGCGTAGCTTCACCCAGTGATGTTGAATACTTAGTTTAGGGTTTTTATGCTGAAGGAGAGGGAGATACCTCTAAGAATGTTTTAGAGCTTTTATAGCAGTTTTGTTATGATTCTGCCCCCCAGCTGCCCTGGGTTATGGTAGCAGGAGGAACTCTCAAACATGCACTCTTTATAGCTCCATGCATTTTACCAAAGAATCCAGAACCAGACCCTTTCTTGGCATCAGAAAAATTTATGGAAGTTCCATTTTTAAATGTGCATGTATGCATTCTCTATGGTATATACTATCATATATATATGTACACACAGTTGTATGTTTATGGTCATTTAGAATGCTTTATAATGTCAGTGGCTCTTGTATGATAGAGATTTTTAGACCTTTATCATCTTTAAGAAAGAAAAGTCTGTTTCCAGAGGAAGTGGAAATGGTGTACTCTCAGAAACTGTCAGTTCCCCATGAATGTTGGTATTGGTAGATACTTACAGGCTGTTGGCAGTGCTCAGCATACCCCTGCTTTTGAAGTTCTTGGGCGATTGCTTGAAAAATTTTTCGTCCACTACTTATTTTCTGCAAATGATTTAGAATATTTTAGGTGAGTGCTACATTCTAAGTTGGGAGAAACATCTTTTTCTGCCTTTTATAACTCTGATTTTCCTCCCATGTATGTCCTTGGGAATGTTACTAAATTACACTTGAAGAACATGGAGTTTGGCAGGCAGAGGGGTTTTAGATTACATTATTATTGCATTACCCAACCTTTAATGGATATTTAAATGTCTGGCTTCTGATTTTTGTTCAAGGATATTGTGACAGACATTCTTAACAGACTTGTTTTAAATACATGAGGGCTGCAGCCTTTAAAGCAACAAAAAATTAATAGCAAAGCCTGTTGTTTTCAGAAGTTTAAACAAAATTCACTTAAAACCCAAGGGAAGCAGCATATTAGAGATGGCCTTTACATAGACACCTTTATCATATATCCAATTTGTTAAAAATCAGTGAACTCATTATTTCCATGTAACTTCATAACTAGTTCTGTACAAACCTGGAGTGAAGCCTTAACAGCTCTGAATGCCTCTTTACCTGAATCATCAATTAATCACAAAATTGTTGCCCAATATACTTTCAAAAGACAGGGGAAAAAAAAGCAGCTCTGAATCACAGACAAAGCAAGTGAAGTGATAACATACACAGTTCTTTGTTCTTTGGTCATCTTTTCCACTTTTCTTTAGCAGCTTTGGCTTTAACTGGAGGGAGGGATAATAGAATAAAAAATTATTAACACACAGGATGAGAAGGTAGCAGAATAGTTTAAAGTGTTGCCCTTTTACAGTGTCAGTTTGTAGATAAAAGTTTTGTTAGATCAGCTTATACCATTGGAAAAATCAGAGAAGTTTTCAAGTGTTTTAAGACCTTTTTCAGCTTCTGGCAGTGGATATTGTGAGTATTTTTGCTCTGAGTGCAGTGGGACCTGCCTGAAGCATTATTCAGTTCTCAAAAAAAACCCAAAAGGCATCACATTTCCCAATTTTTTTTCCCCTGAAAAGGCTTGGTTAATTTTTCCCACTATACTCTTCACCTAGTTTAAAGAAAAACAAACCCCCAAAGACAGTCCTTGTCCTTATGCTTAGGCAGTGATCACTACAGCAAAGAACCATTTAACCATCTGATACCAGCAGGGGCTGTGAAGTCCTCACTCTCCTGTCAGAGTCTCATTATAATGTAAAGATTCCTGTTGCAGCTTTGGGTGTTTGTTTTTAACTAAACACAGATTTTGTTCTAGAGTTTAAAAAACAGAAACCCACAGTAGTTAGTAACTTTTAACCATGTGCCTTGTCTTGTGTTTGTAAGCATAAAACCTCTTCCAAGTCTCTAAAGACTTTTACATTTTACCACATTCTCTCTTCTCTGTATAAATAGAATGTCATTAGACAAAGTCAGTCTGCAGTAACTTTACTGGAGCTCACAAATCCTCTGACATGAAATTTAGGTTATTTTACCTTTACTGGAAATTAGTTTATGATTTATGATGGTAATTTCTAGTTTTGCTTTTTCTCTGTGTTTTGCTCCTCTCTGACTTGTTCATTAATACTCTCAGGATAACTTTAACTTTAGAACACCTTTTCTTTTAGACACTTTACTGAAAAAAGAAAATGTAGTTGCTGTTGAGACTACAGGTATGTGCCACACATAGTTCACAGCTGTGTGCAGCACAGGCACTTCAACCAACCACCTCATCAAAACATAACCAGAAGAGTTATCACGTCAAGGAACGTGTTTTTATTCTCCTTATGGAGATGTTAAAACTGCAGAGATTTACAGAATGAGCACAATCAGGAAAATCACTTTGAGCCTACCTTGTAGACCCCAAAGAATGTGAATACAGTAGTGCTGTATAGGAACAGTAAGGATGAGGCAACGATCATGAAGATGAAGATGAGTTTTCCATCACTGTGCAGCTGCTTTGCTCCTTTATTAAAAGTGTTAGAATAAAGGGCAGTTATGATTAACATAATTTACTTAAGATTCTGCATTCCAGCCCCTTTCCCCTGAGGAATTACAAACCTTATAGTCATCAATATTTTTCTAGTTCATTTTCAGTCTAAATTCCTCCCTGTGATCATTTTCATTTTGGTTGCCTGAATGTTTGCAAGGCCAATGGACACTTGTTTTGATTCTGAACCTTTCCTTTAGGGTTAGAGAATGGAGTCCAGTTTTCTGCTCTCATAAAGGCATATCTGAATAAAGCTCACAGGCTTTTGTTCAGAAATGGAATTACATAGAGGAAGGAAGAAATATAAAGAATAAAGAATATAAAGTAATAAAGAAATATCCAGCAAGGTGGTGGGGTTTTCATTTTTTTCTCTTTATTTTAGGCATGTAAAACTGAAATGTAATTATTGAAGCCCCATTGCTTTCTTAACAAGAAGGCAAATAATAGAAAGGTTTAGAATTAAACCTTTTTCTCATGTTGGCTCAGGGAATCCCCAGGTCTAAGACATTGTGCTGTTGCACTTATTTCTACTAAATGTCAGTTTCTCCACTTCTCATTTTTCTTTTGATACTTCCTTTGTGATAGCCACTCAAGCCATTATGTAAGAGGATGTAGAGTATGGCTAGACAAAACAGATACAAAACTTCTTTCTCTTGTAGAATCCTAAGTCATTTGCATCGTATAACAGAACAGTCTAATTAGCAAATGACATTGAGATGCTTATTTGTAGAATCCCTCTGGTTTTACTATTAAAATGTTAACACAGTTATACTAGTCCTAACAGGTTTGTTGGTATTTCCATTTTAAATGCCATTCTTGAAAGTGTAGATAGAGTATTTAAAAAAACTAATTGATTTCTTCTAAGATGCTTCATTAAGGAGGAAAGATCGACTGACCTGTTATGGTTAGTACTGTTCCATTTCCTGTTTGTTTAGAATGGGGTGAACTTGAGTCTGAAAATGCTATTCCACAAATGTAAACAGCACTGTCATCTCTTGTCAGGTGTTTGATCTTGAGTGATATGGTATTTCCTGAGAAATGTACTTCATACTTCTGCTGATCTGTGCATTCAGGAGTACACAAATCCTGGTGTTTGGTGGTTAAAAAGCGAAACCACAGAACTTCAGGTGTGGACGAGGAACATTCAGAGGCAGAGAAAGAACATGGTAGGGATACACTGTTCATGGAGTAATCAACTTCCTGAAACGTGGGCTGAGTGACAGTGACTTGGCAGGTATCTGCCACACCTGTTGGGAATGAAGAGTTGGGAATGTGAGGGACAGTTAAAAAGCAAGGCACAACCTAAAAAGAGAACAACCTACTTTTTGTTCATTTGAAAAGATGGAAGGAAGAAAACCAACTCTGTTTCAAACTTGAAATTTTTGAGGCTGTTCCCAGCAAACTTTTCTTTTAAGCTAGTTCTTACAGCTTGCCTGTCTGTTCATTTAGCAGCTTTACCTGTGTAGTAATGTGCTTAGCTTTCTGTTACCTGACAAAATGCAGAGATCTATGTATCTGAACCCTGGAGAAGACCAGAAGAATACTTGGTGCAGTTCCCTGCCTCATATTGAGTGTGTTTTGGGGATGTGGGTGCTGTGTGACATGACTGTAGGTGCTCAGTACAGCAGTTCTGCAGGGGTTTCCTTCTCTTCCACTGTTTGTGATCTGAGACAAGGGAGACAACCTGATGGCAGTGGAAAAGTCATGAATTAAGACATTTATAAATTAGCAACTTCATAACATTGATTAGAATTCAACAATAGTTCCTAGACATTCTTCTACTTCATCAGATGTAGTGACTGGCTTTCTAAGGATAATAATAATAGTGCTTGTTAGTTCTGACATTTAAAAATGTGTGGGGAGAAAACAGGAAGGTTAATCAGAAAAGAGAATTCTAATTAAGGAACTGAAATGTAAGGTTTAATGTGACTGGTCTGGGAGGGTTTTTTTTAAGTCATTATTGAAATTCATAATGTAAATACCATTTTAGTATATTTAGTTTAAATAACTGCAATTTATTTGAGTAAAATTATGGAATTGAGATGATTGCAGTGAAAATGAGACTGGTAGCTTAACAGCATCTTTTTCTAGTTCCTAGAAAATAACAAATTAGAAGAAAAATAAACTGAAGCCTTAGTCAACTGCTGATACACAATTTATAGGCCTGTCTGTGGTGAACAATCAGCACTGACCCTTCATCATTTTTCTCACCAAACCCAAGCAATTCAGTGTCTGTGACTTCCACAGGAATAATACCAAGCTCTGTTTCTCTGTTAGCTGAATAGCAGAGCCATTCCACAGCAGCTACAGCAATCTGAAGGTTGTAATAATACAAATTATTGATGTGATTGCACCCTGTGTGGTGAAAGGCAGAAGCTCTGCACTTGATTCCCTTCTCTTTTCTACCTTGCTCAGGGGCTCTGGGTGGCCTTGCAGAGCAGAACTCCATGGCT